TATATATATATATATAAGAGTAGACGAAAGAGCTTAGCTAAGGGGGCAAAATATCCGCCAAATTTGAAATTCCCGCCATTTTTCATCGGCGAGATTTTCTTTGGCGGATATTGAACTAAGCGGGCGGAAAGTTGTATCTTGGTCTGTTAGTAGGGTAAGTGAATCGAAGGTATGCTCCCTTGCTACAGACTATCCAAAAGCAACGATACGCTCCGTTCAGCTTCGTTTCAGTCTTGGCGTATGGTTTGAAAGATATGCCGATTTTTTCGTTTGATTCTTATTGACCCAATCGCTCTCGGTCAGAGGGAGATTGGATAAATGAAAGTCGGGTATATGATAATTTTCTCAATTTTTTTGGTCGTTCTTTTGTCGCCGCGAGCCTTAGAGAGTGCGAAGCGCCCCGCGGGGGTTGGGCGGGAGGCATATCCCCCTAGTTCTCAACTGAAGGTTCGTCAGTTTTTTTAAGGATTTTGAATATGTTTCGGTGGAACCTACAATTATTTTCATTTTTACTGTATATAGCTGCAGCGATTTTTGCCGGACCAAATTCGATTGAGCAACAGGAATTCATGCAGCAGGTATGTTTAAATTCCATAGCTTGGATGATGATAGTAAACAAAATTCTATGAGTATTATTTCCATCACATTTTTTACAGATGAACGTGATTTACTCACGCAAACCCTATGTGTATTATTCATTTTAGCTTATACACGTCCAATTAAATTCGAATTATCTACGAACTTGAACAAATATATTCTACAGAGATATCGTAGTAAGTCAAATTAGCTTTTTCTTAGTTATTCACTACTTACTTTGCATCTAATATAGCTTCCTCTTTAAACGGCATTTTATCAGGCTGAGGTTGTTTAAAAACAACGAAAAGAAATCGATGAGCATCTGCAATTAGGAGAGAATAATAAAAAGACAAAGAATTATTAGTAAAAAATGAATTGAAACTCTCCGTGTCTTGTTTTATATTTCTTCTGCGAATGAGCAAATGGACCGGAAAGTTAATCTTGGTGCTGCGTACCTACACGAAATAATGAAGTTGGAATACTCTACATAGTGAAAAATTATAATTTGTTATTAATAGCCCGTCAGTATATCCCTCTTTAAATACTGAAGCACCGAAAAAAACACAAATTTCATACTCATGCAGTGTCCTGAGAAAAGGGCGAACGAGTGACCCAACAAAGTTCAATTCAAGGGTTTGTTCCGTTTTTAAAGAGTACATATGGTTTGGTCTTTGGTAAGGTCAAGAACCAGCCGAGAACTATAATGCGAGATGGTATATTGAAGAAAATCCTAATCCAAGAGAGTTTTTTCTTATTTTAATACTCAAGGGTCAAAATTTAATAGACCCCGACCTTATGAGCCCATGGTTAATCACGTAGAATACGCGTTTTTGCGATGTTTTTTTTTACGTTTGCGAGTTTTAGAAGGAACTTTTAAGAGTATATTATTAATTAATTTAAGGAATTAGTTAATTCTTAGCGCTCGGTGAAAATCAGGACCATAGAAAGGAATTTTTGTCTCGAGGAGGGAGGAGGGGCTTCTCCCTACCTTCTCCACTTGCCTCCGTGCCTAGTGAGAATATTAATGGCAATTAAGGCAGTCACCTGAAACGTAATTCGGTGCAGCTCCAATGTACTCCGCAATCATATCACCAGCCATGAATTTAGTTTCTTTGACATTCGTCACTAACCAGTGAAGGTATTCTCGATCGGTATGATTCTCTCTTGACGGACAGTCAGGCCCTTGAAAACAAAAAGTATGAAGAAAAAATAAATAAAATAAAAAATTAGAAAAGTACATGGTGTTGGCAAAAAAGCTGTATATTAACGTGTGAGGTTAAATGCTTTATTTTAGATCATTCATGAGTATACTGTTGAATAATTTGATGCATTCAGTAGGTAATAAAACGGTTTAGAAGTAAAATTTAAGTTGAAACAAGTCTTCCAAATATTGAAAAAAATTCGTTTCAATTTCAGACAAAAGTCAGCTTTCCAAAAATGTTCATCTAATTACTAAGGTTATGAGTCTGAATTATTTTCAAAATTGAAGGGACTCTACCATTTGAATTATTATTGAGCCTACCGGTGCAGTCGATGAAGGCTTTCCTTAATATTTACACGCCCCTGAAAAAAAAAATTGAAATTTTAAATTTGAAGACAATTTTAACCGCAGTTAAAAGAAAATTCAATTTTTATGTTTTCAAAATTTCATATTCGTTTTTGTCGCAGAGTTTGGAGTTAAAAAGGAGGAATATTCCAGGTAAAAAAATGCGGCATTATGAACGTCTTGTTCGATAAAACGACTATTTTTGTGCATCTTTTATGATTATAAATAGTTAAGGGAGGGGTACTCTTCCGTTGGGTATATACGGGGGGTGGGATAAAATCGAGGAGGATTTTACGTAATTTGCTTAGTACTTTGCAGAAAATTCCTGAAATTTGTAAAAAAAAAAAAAAATCCGCAGAACCGTTTTCATGTAAAAAAATTAAATTGCCTAAGTAAACTTGGCAATAGCCGATGTGGCGTGGTTCATCTCGGCTTAGTGTGGTCAATTGTCAGTAAACACCTAAGTTGAAAAAATTTTTGACGAGAGTATTAAGCCCACTCCTTTGTTGCCAAAATGAATCTACATATTTACGGAGGCATACAGAAAGAAGACAAAACTCAAGAATGATGACACGCAAATTTTTTTTGAAAACTTTTGGCGCAATGAGAAAAGTGTTAATGCGGTTTTGTAGCGCTGCATGATATGGGCTTTACACCGACCGTACTGTTTGGTGCAATGCGTGAAGTATTCCCGATATCTTGCAGGCGATTATATACGTTTAACGCGGCATCGAGTAATAGAGCTTAAAAGGCCCCTGTTGTGTTTCGACTCCGCGCCGTATGAGCATTATTCTAACGTTGTCTCGTTCCTCCCGATTACATATTTTTTCCGAGAAAAGTTAGGAGAGATCTTTATACCCTCGAACATTATTCAAATATTTTCACTTCATTCATCATTAAAAGGTAAGACAGCCATGACTTGTCAACAAACTAACCTAAACTAGCGTCAACATAATAATGCGTTTATTTTCCAACTGTTTCCTGGTTTGCCAAACTTTTACCTCAAAATTAACTTCATTTTAATTGCGCGCATTCCTCCAGCAGATGTTGAGGTTTCTAGTCGCGCAATGGAGATGTTGCATGTGTGAGGAATTTGCGATTTGACTATTGATACGTATGTAAAAGTTCGCGAGAAACACGATGGTGCCCATGGTTTTCAACCACTAAAATCAACTCCTAAGCTTAAAAAAAGCTCTCAAGTTGAGGCCAAAATGGAGGGGATATCCCACGCTATCTTGAAAGTGTATACCTCTACACCAAGACAAACTCTCCATGCAAAGATATAGGGAGCAAATACATTGACAGGGCTGCCACTTTATTTGGGGACTCTAAAACTGAAAGCACGGCATCCCTGCTAATATATTTGCTCCCTATCTTTGCATGGAGAGTTCGTCTTGATGTAGAGGTGTACTCTCAGGATAGCGTGGGATATCCCCTCCATTTTTGCCTCAACTTGAGAGCTTTTTTTACGCTTGGGAGTTGATTTCAGAGAAAACCATTGGCAACATAGTGTTTCTTGCGAACTTTTACATAAGAATTAATAGTCGAATCGCAAATCCCTTACACATGCAACATCCCTATTGTGCCTTTTTCGCGCAATCCTCATATACTTTCTTAAACCTTTCACGCAATCCTGGATTACCGCTAATATCCATTATGGTTTTGCTGAGAATGAGAAAAATCAACTACCTGTCAAAATAATCGTATAATATGCACCCTTTTCAAATGGCCAATCTAAAACAGTGGGCATATTCAGCACTTCAGAGCAACCAACGAGGTTCCCAAGGTTTATCCATCTTGTATAATAGCTCACCTAAGAACATAAAAATATTATAAACATATGCTGTAAAAGTAACGTGCGCATATTATGGGAAAATTAACTTTACAATTTTTTCAAATATTTAAATCGGTACCCCGCGGTCAAAAGGCACCAACTGAATTTGAGCCTTTTTGAGATATCGGGGAAAACTGCGCATTGCGTCGGCCGCATTGATTTCAGTGTAATCGCAATTTTTGAAATTTTGTACCTCATTTCTGGCGTGAGATAGGGCTAGTAAATTGTTCACACTCACGAAATTATATTGAAGATTTTCAAAATGCTACTGACTCGATTTTTTCGGTAAAGTTAGTTAGGTACCTTTTCGCTCTGGGGCTCTGGGGGTACTCATTCAAGTTCTCAGTTGATAAATGACGTTCATTAGATAATCCCGCAGGCGGTCTACTGAAAATTTCAGGGCACCCACTTCACGTCAAAGAATGAACTCCTGAGACATCTAATAATAATAATCCCCAAAAATAAATCATGCTATGATATTTGACAATTGTAGATGTAACCTGAATTTTTAAAGTTAATGCGGCTCATATACAAGATAGAAATACTTCTGGTAGCACTAGTAAAAATACTACTTGTAAAATACTACTAAAATACGATACTATGATAAAAACAAAAACATTACTATTATGATCCAATGATTTTCAGTGGTACGAAAAAATGATCATCTCGACAATGTTGCCGTTCTTGTTTCTTCACCTGTAATTCATGCGTCAGAAGAAGTAATTTTTTAGTTAAAAGACAACCGGATCATATCACAATCCAGAAACACTGCCTCGACGATCAATGAAAATCTTTTCATATCCCTGAAGATCCTTCGATCACCATGATGATATTTTATTTTGACTGGGGTACTAATATTAATAGATGCATGAAGCGGTCCAGGGGTTGGTTCAAATAATATTCTCAAGAGATACGCTGAGAGTAATTTACTCACAAAAAGTTCTTCTTTAGGTATGGCGTCCAACACATCAGGAACAAGTTTGTCCCGCTCAAGCATAAGTGTTCTGTTGAAGAGAAAAGTTGTCGTTTCCACTGAAGAACTGGGATCTTGATGACTTTTAGTGGTAGCAGCTCCTAATACATTTGTGACAAATGTTTTTAGGAGAGTTGCGAAGAGAAACACTTTTTGACCCGCAAGAAACCCGCCTTGAAGGGTGATCATTATATGATGTGGGATCCGATTTGACGTCCGCAGTGAGATTTTATGCTCTTGGCAGGAGAGTCAACTTGGAGGACTAGAAACAAATACGAGACAAGTAAATTAACTATGAAATGTCGTCCTCAAAAATTAGATCACCCATTTATTTGGAGAGAAAGAGGCCATACGATTGCTGAAGCGAGAAATGCATAAACCGACCAACAATATTTTTTTTTTTAAAGTTGTATTGGAATTTTTTTCTTTTGTTCTAAGGTATCTGTAGGTCATTTCAAGAAAATGTTTAGGTTACATTTCTGACAAAACATTGAGTGGTTAAAAGTCACAATGAATCGCATTCTTTCAGTTTTCAAAAAATTAAACCCTTGATTGAAAATATATTGCACAATGAAGGGGAATTAAGAAACTTTTTTAAAACTTTTATAAATAATGGTTACAATCAATTTTAAAAATGTTGAATTTTGGGAATTTTAAAATTAACCATTTTTATACTCTAATTGTGCATACAATGTTCAGAATTTTGAAATAGATTTTGGTGGATAGGAAAAAAAACAGATTTTGATGCATTTTGAAAAGAAATAAGAATCAGATATTTATATAGGCTAATAAATTAATAATGTACCTGAAAATATTTCGGGTGCCTTCAGCTTGACTCAACGGGATCCATTTTTGAATTTGGGAAGATTAAAAACGAGCTGTCACTTACTCTTTGTACTGTTGTTATTCACTACTTAATTAGGCCGGCTGTTTATTTTGTGAACGCTGTCTGCCCTCCTCTTTGCCACCGTTTACTATCATTAACGAAATCTCTTGTACAGAACATTTAAGACTATACCTATTCACAGTCACGCCACCTCTTTCATCGCACCACCCTAAACATCCCATAGAATACGCATAGGTATTTATTCAAAACACGTTTACTATCATGCAGCTGAATCAGTATTTCATTTCATTCTTCATTTTTAGTCCCACGAACTTGTGATATAAAACTGCCAATCGCAGGGATAGTTCAATGTGTAAAATTAAATGTACTTAGAGGGGAAAGTTTTGAAAACAATTATAATTAATGTCTTAAAGAAGCTGAGACGCAGTGTTTAAAAGTAAAAATAAGTCACTGTATACATCAAATACGACCCATTTTGAAACTACATAAAAACATAAAGCAAGAGAATTCTTAAGCGTTATCATATTTACTTTCCTTTTAATTATAACTTATCTTTCACAATAATCATTATTGAGATCTTCCAATCTGATACTGTGTCATCTCTTTTTCTGGCCCAATCAACTTATGTCTATATGTCATTTCGTCACTCCATCACCTCACTAAACACGTCATGGTATATTAATAAATCCATTTTTAATCGTCCTCCCAAAAAGACCATATTATGATACAGGCTAAACATAATGTGAGTGATCTTATGATCTTAAGATATTTCGTAAGCTTTTTACTTTATACTCATACTGCCACACTAAAGAGAACGCCGTATGAACCTTCAGACGTTGTCAAATTTCCTTTGATAAAATGCGATTAATATCTGAGGATATCTGTAAATATTTTCCCTTTAATTTTTCAGGGAATTTTATTCGTGTGCAGTTTTAAATTATCTGCAAACTTCAAGAGAGAATATTCATAACTCTCCTTTAAAATGAAAATTTTACCGAAGGAAATTCGGCAACTCGCATACGTCTTTCTTCCTCAGCTCGGCAGCATAATACTCAATCATTTAAATCGTTGAAAGCGATAACTTCTTTCCTCTCGTTTCTTCAGAACTTCAATACTTTGCTCTCATCAAAACGCAGCATAGATTGAAACGACAGCTAGGAGTGTAATTACGGTGCGCATGTTTAAAAACTTATTAGTACGCGAAAAATTACAGATCGGAATATTTTTGTGGCTCTTAAATTACAATATTTTAGCTGATAATATGTAGGTGCTGTGTACTTTTCAGTACTTATTTTTTATGCGTTATGGTATTTTTTGTAGTGCGCGTTTAGCAAGGATTTTGTGCGGAGATTACAGTTGATTCCTTGCTAAAGTCCCGGTATTTTTCTGGTTTACTCTTGAAAAAATTACCTTTTTTACGAAATTAAGATGATTCAAATTTTCAGAAACTGTTACCAATATCTTTCCGCAAAAGGATCAACTTCGTCATTTTGTTTACGCTTTAATCCTAAAATGGGCTTTTGAAAATGTGTTTTGCCAAATAAATCTAAGGAAACAATTTTTGAACGAGAATTTTAGCCCCCCCACCCTTAAAATTTTTATTAATGTCTTCTATTCAATATTGAAAATATTAAATAACTCTATATTCCACCTCTCGTCCATAGACTTTCAAATAGGTTCGTAGTAATGACATCGATCAAAGACACGTTCGCGGGAATATTACTCCTCAAAATGACTTTTTACACAAATCTGGCACAAGGTGCCTCCACAAATGGACATACAACACAAAAAGGACTTACAACTTTAAAACGCGAAACAACCACCATGATGGAACCTATCGAGTTAGAACTTCGTAGTGATAAAATTATTCCTGATCTTTCAAGCTTAGATGTGGTTCCGGAGCATGTTTTGAAGGTTCGTAAATTCTCACCTTTACTTCGTAATAAAAAAGAGGAGCGACATTCTCTATTTGTGTTAATTTAAAGGCAAATTACCTACCACACAGGCACATATCAGTGCTACGAAGGTACATTAACTCGCATTATTGCAAAATAGAGTCATTGGTATCTTGAGTACCATCTCAGGAACACCTCCATGCGTGAAGAACATTTGATAGTCATATCGTTGCTTCTTTAACGTAATGGCGTACCTCAATTTTCACGTGAGCCCTGTTTCACATATAAATCAAGCTTTCTGAGGCTCATGTGGAAATTCAGATATGCCTTCAAGTCAAATGAGCGGCTATATTTAGCGCCGATTCCGAGGGATATAGAGATTCAAAAAAATCCGCGTCGAAATAAGTTGCTCTTCGCAGGATGCATCAAATTCGGAAATACTTCATGTTTCCCCTAAAATTTGGCCCTAAAATGCAAATTCTACCTTCTATTAACGAAAAAAAATTTTGAATCAGTTGCAGAACATCACGTGTTTTTAACCTAATACCACAAATTTGACGAAATAGAGGACAGCCTATTCACTGAGGAATATTATTGACGTATTCCTATACAAAAGATTAGTAGAAACGGCCCAAATCGAAACATATATGCATAGTATGCACTCCTTGTACATACTGAAAATGTATAATATGTCCCTGAAAGAAAATAAAATAAAAAACTATATATTTTCGTAATTTTTCAAGTGAGATGTCTATAATTTACGTTGCTCAGTTTCAGTTGGACTGCATTTTGCAATTTGGAACTATAAATTCTAGCCCGGTTTGAAAACAACGTATGTGCAATTAGTTTTCCTATGCACATAAGTGTTTTCCAGAGGAGCCAGAACTTATAGTTCCAAATTGCAAAATACAGTCCAGTTATTGCAAATGACCTCTTGCTGTTTTGCTTGCATATTTTCATTATCTTCGCATCTTTTCATTGATAGGTGGTTTATGAAGGAGATGTTCCCGTTTGTTTTGGAAACAGTTTAAAAGCGGCTGTGGCTGTTGCTGTTCCAGAAAGTGTATCATGGTACAGCGAAGAAGCCAATATCACATTCCATACAATAGTTTTTGTTGGTAAGTTAATATTTGGGATGTAAATACTGAAATAACTGTGTGTGCTCGAAAAAAGGCATGTTCATTTTCGTAAAATTTAGCCGCAACTATAGCGATTGGAGAACAATTTAATTTCCGACCTATTGCAGGTGCCTTTTCCAAGAGAGAATTTTTGTACGGTAAGAATGGATAAAATGATCATATTTTTGACCTTAAACCCCTAAAATTTGCAGTTTTAAAAGTCGTAAGAACTAGCATGCTATAGCGAAGCAGGGCCCAAATTTTAATTGCCTTATTCAATCTTGAAGGGAATAAGAAGGCTACGCCTTTTTACTTCTTCCTCGTTAAGGTCAACGTTAGTAAAGAACATAAATAATATATGCAGTTTGATAATATTTTGAGTGCCACATGTTTAGTCTTAAAGTAATATCTGGGGGATTTCTTTCAGAGATTTTTTATGAAAATGTAAATACTTACATGTTTTATTTTTTGGTAGACCTTGATGCACCGTCGCAAGAAAATCCAACAGAAAGAGAGTGGTTGCATTGGATTGTAGGTAATATACCCGACGAAAAGTTAAAATCAGGACAAACGATAGCTGAGTACACAGGCCCAACGCCTATGCACGGAAATGGTGAGAAATATACTGCTCATTTTTTATCACATTACGTGACGTCTAGAAATCAACCAACTGACCAAGATGTAAACGTTTACAATTGATATGGGTTAAAATAATGACGAACATACAATTGACGTCATTTGTATAATCTTGCTCCCATTTGATCTGCATTAAAAACACTCCTCAATGCCTCCCGCAGAAGTTAATTACCTTTCTTTGTGTGAATCTTTTTTTTAGGATTTGAGGCAAAAACATATGAAGTTTTTTCCTACTTGGACGTATTCATGCTGAAAAGAACCAGAGATGGGTGGGAAAGATGGGGTGTCCTCGTTAGTTAAGGAACGTAAGACCGTATGGGGCGTATAAAGCGTCAGTGACGTCATCGGCGACGACAGGAGCGACGACGAGGAGCTACGCGGTCTTGAACTCATGAGCCCTGCCCATAACGCTCTTGTCACATGCCCGCGGCTCATGAGTTAGTATACAGTTGCCGCTTAGTTCCTTTTGATTTCATGTAAAATCCCACTTTTCCATTTTCCCAAAAGGAATCACGCCCGCTTTTACATTGTTTCTTATGCAGCTCAAACGAGCTCGCACCCCATCTTTCTCACACATCTCTAGTTTCTTCTAGCATAAACGTAGCATGTCGTCCGGTGCCCATTGGCTTAGTGCAGGCTTTAGATGTACTTTCTTGATTTTTTAAACCAAAATATCCAAGAAAAAGTTACCATCATTCACTTGACGAGAGGATAAAAACTAATTTGAGCGCAGCTTTGGCAAAAACAGTGCAAACGTAGCTTTAAAATAAGTTGGATCATTTTCACGCGGAGAATTTAGCACAAAAGTTCATTCAATTTTATGGTCCATATCTTGCAATTTTTTCCCGGGCAATTTTTTTGCATTTTAATGTTCTTTTTACTTTTAATGTTACTCTTTTACAGGCACTCATAGGTACGTTTTCCAGTTATTTCTCCAAAAGAAAGGGAAAATCCATTTTGAAGAGACTCACGTAACTTCCAGGTAATAGAATTTCCATGTTTTTCTTTTTTATTTAACTGTAAGTGCGCTAATAAGTTTGGATTTTTCGAGTAGGAGGAGGCATGTTCCTAAAACTAAAGTTGATGGACAGAAATAACTTGGAAATTCGTTCAAAGATGTGTTGAAATTATTAGCTTTTCAAAGAAATTTTTCTATATGTTTCATTCAGAAAGGAGTCAACATATATTCGCAATCGCAGAGTGAAAAACATGTTTGTTCAAAGTCGTCAAAATATATTGATTTGCTGCCGGGTAAAATTATGAAACTATTCTTCAGTCAAGAAGATCCGTCATTCGTTGAACTTCTTATCCGTCATAAAGATATTGACCGAAAATTTATTTAAGCTGATCGGTTTATTAGACTTATTGCAATCGACTAGATTGACGTAATATTCTTGCCTTGAAAGGACTGGGCACGTTTTATTTACAACGATGGGACAAACTGTTTAAGATAAAATTTTCAAATCGGAGGATATTCAAAAGTACATAGATGGCAAGCTAATATGGATCCGGTTCTATAAAATTACAATTCACAAATTAAATGGATGAAATGTTACAGAGGATGTTCATGAGGGTCATTCAAACTGACGAACGCCTTCTTTCATCAGCAATGCTATTAATAAAAATCAAATACAAGCATTCGTGATGGTTAATTACGGTGGTGTGCGTGTGTGTAGGATGTGTTTATCTGTGTTAGTTAGTTTTGGCTGTTAGAAAGAGAGGGGGAGGGGTGCATAAGACGCGTTTACTCGTGTTGGACACATTTTTTGCGAAAGCCCTGTCGATACTACTAGCAAAAGTTCATGCAAGTTCCGTGAACCTATCTCTGTGTGGACAAGGCCTTTCATTCGTAAGAAAAGAACGAAAAAATTATAAAAGAACAAACATAAATATGGTTAAATAATTTTAACTTCCGCCGCCGCGCCGCGCCGCGCTGACCGCACCGTGTTTGGCGCAATGCTGAAGTATTCCTACAGTCTTGTAGGCGCTATGCGTTTTACGCCGACCGCACTGTTTTTGACGCAATGCGTGAAGTATTCACGCAGTCTTGTAGGCGCTATGCGTTTCGTGCCGACAGCTGCTGACCGCACTGTGTTCGACGCATTGCGTGAAGTATTCATGCAGTCTTGTAGGCGCTAATATGTGTTACATGCCGACCACCGCGCGAGGGCTTATCCTTTTCATCTCAAGTCATTATCTCATCATTGCTCTCTGCGCCGCGCGCCGCATCGTTGCAGGCCAAATTGCGTATTTGGTTCCTCTCTTAACTTGAATAATTAAAGGTGCTGTCTCTGGTATCACTGAAATACGATAAAATTAGAAATTGCAATACAATCAGATTTACTAAATAATATATTGAAATAAATATTAACCTTTTTATGAGTATTATGATCGGATATATTAGGACATACAGGACAACAGGAAAGACTAAAATCTCTCATATGAAACAAGTCACTGTGGTTACATCAATTGTCACCACCCATAGTTTGAAAATGGTTATGCTTTAAAGGTTAATTTGAAGAAATATTCACAACTTTAAAGTTAACAACAACTTAGCATCAGACGTTAAACTTATAATTGAAAGATTATTTAACTCTCATTTGGACGTAGTTTTATCAAACGGAACTATGTGCATTAAGACATGACGACGGTGCAAGTCGGCAATCACATAACTCGTTTGCGGTGTCTAAAAATCTCCGCAACTATGTTATTTTTTTAAAGGAGAACAGATGGACATGATTCCTTGAAGTTTTTGCAGAATTTTCCTCGCACATAGAAGAAAAATCACGGAAGTTTTAAATAATTACCGTTGAGTAGTTTTCCGTTTAAAAATTAAAGTATGACAGGAAGTCTGCGACGTCGCAAACCGAGTTATGTGATTGCCGACTTTCACCGTCGATGAGCCCTAAGACCCATAAAAATACATGCATAACAGGGCTCACGTCATAATGCACACAGCTCCGTTTGACAGAAATGCGTCCATTTAAAAGGAGAAAGCGATGGTGGAGGTGACATTAAAAACCGAGCATTTAAATTCTTAGCAGAAAAATGTCAAATAAATGCAACTAATTAAGTGGCGTTCTTGTGTACGAGTTTTGCTGGATGCGTATGGAGAATTTAGTGTTTTGACAAGTGTGATCTATCGATGAGGTCTAAAACGACTCAAAAGGTTGTAGATCTCTCAGCGTGACCTCAACGTAACATTCCAAAGCAAGCTGTCTGAGCTGCACACAGCCTTCATTCTTGAACTGGTATATTTATTAGAGTTCAAATTTTTTGACTCCAATTGAAATTTTAGAACTTTTTGGTCTCATTCCCCCCGTGAAATAGTGTGAACCCGACACTATTCTACAACCTTGCCACACACAGTTTGGGCTACGTTTTTCAGTGTTTTTTTCTTGTTCCTTGAAATATTTATGCGAGTATTTTAAGATTATATTATTTTTTATTCCAACAGGGCTAATGATTCAAAGAGAGCTAAATTTTCTTCGCAAAAATTCGCCAAAAAATATGGTTTAGGCCGACCTTATGCGGTGAATTATTTCCTAGTGACGTGGCCGGAGGAACCAGATTCCGAGGAAGAAGACGGAACACAAGCACCTCCCCCTGCATTCCCAGACTTGCCTGAGGGGGAATTTGATCTTAAATTTCAGACCGAAAGTTAACAATCGAAAATTATAAGCGTCTAATAGTTTTAAGCTGAATCAAACAGGAAGTAACCGATTCACATTTTGGACAGAAGATAAGCTGAGAGCAGTTTTTAATTTTACCGGCTCTACATTTTCTCCTGTCGAAAATTCAAAATCGAGAAAAGATATTTTTGAATGTCATGCGTAAATGGCATCGAACTTTATCTTTATCATTGAGTTCTACGGTGGAATAAAACTTTAAACCTCTATTTCTCGGTTTGATTTTGATGCGACTCGGTTTTTTACTGTTGATCTCCTTCTGTGTCATGTTTGTTTTTCAAAAAAGCTGTCAAGTTTCGTAAATATATTTTCATTTAATTTAGCTAATGAATATAAATCAAATACTTTGAATGAAAGCAAAATACTAATTAGTAGTTTCAGCATTCTACCACAAATGCTTTACAAATTCAAAGGGAAGAAGGGAACATAGAAGGGGTGGGGGTGGGGGGAAGTAAGCTGAAGTCGAAAGAAATCGATCCTTGAGGCTCGTTTTAATGTTTCTTTTCTTTGGGGCTCTTCGGTTCTAATATGACAAGTGTATGTTTTCAGGTTGTGATTTATCACCTAACAATCATATTGTATGATCGCAAAAAGATCAAAGACCTTATAGATTAACACGTAATATTTTTCATGATGCACAATCAAATGACTAGTATGCATTCTTAAGTAGTAATTTTAGCACTTTCACAATACTTGCCTCAATAAAGAAAATTCGTTTCTCTCGTTTTTTTCCATCGGCTCTTATTATTTATTTGGTAAATACGTTTAAAATATTAGTTTTATCTGGTATCCCTTTTTAATGATAATAAAAATATATACGTTAAAATTACTGAACTAGGAGTTTCAGAAGAGTTTAACGGTTCGCATTATTGTTTTTAAAAGGGAAGACGAATTAATGCTTTATATACAATGGAATCAAGTATTATAGTCTTTATAAGACTAGTCGCTATTAACGATGTTGCAACCAAAGCAAAGCACTAAATGCCTCGAATATTGCAATAAGAGCAAAGCCAGGGTTGACTCAGATTAGATTTAAAATTGGAACTTCATCATAACTGTAAGTTGAGTTGATTCGGACAATTGAGAAGATTCTAGATTAAGTCAAATTTCATGTCTCCATATTAAAGCCAGTGTGAGTCAAATATTCGTAACACGGAAGAAAATAGAATTACGGTGTCAAATCGCTTGGCGTGCTGAACTCCGGCTCAAATGTAGGCAGGGGTTTACTAGGGTCAATCCAGTAATAATTTGCAGCCACAACTTCTAGACCGTACTTCTTTGCAAAACTGCGAGTGGAGAATTTCCTTCTTCTGTTATTGTTTCGACTGTTAACAACAAAAAAGAAAAATATAATAATATCGTATCTAATGGGTGTTTTTAGACTTGTTTGCAACTGAGAAGGAGCGAAATTGATTTTGTTTTTTATGCTGAAAAGCATTTTCTACAATGAATGGAACCATGAAGGACTATCTGCATAGGATTGTTGTACCTCATATCCGATCGATATAGTTCATTCAATCATAGTTCCCTTCAGCATAAATACGTTCAATTCTAAACGGTCATAAATAGACTATATTTACTGACAAAAACTTTCCACTTAAGAATTCCCAAGAGGAGTATTTTAGTTGAGTCAACCGGACAGCTCCTGAAGGTGATATAACGTCTCTTGAAACAACAGAAGCACCGTTTAAGATATTGATATTCTATATTAACTCGACGATAATTCTCGGCTAGGAATTATTATTCAGAATTTTTATTAATCCAACAGAAAATTTGTCTCCAAGTTCTCGTAATGTTAACCACCCGAGTATTCTGATTAGTTTTTCATTCCTGAAATATCAGCGGCGATTCCACGTTTTACTTAGTTTAGACAATAGCTCTTTAGAAGATACATAGTTCTTAATTTTCCAGTTTATCTCTCCCTCTAGCCTGACATGATTGATATCTACTGCAAGATAAATGTTTTATCTTAATATTTATCTCTAGGTATGCCAAGAATATAAATGACTTGCAAACAATTTGCCTCACCTAAGTGAAAGAATTTTGTGAAAATAAAGCAAAAGGGTACTTTATATTAAACGCAAGCGTTGAATGTTGCTGGATGGACTATTTTTAGAGTACCATAAGAAAAAAACTCCTGAATCTAAAGTTCAAAGCTACTTACGATGGGACACGTATTGGCCTTTCATTAAAGGACATTTTACTTGGCTCGGGCTGTTTTAAAACAACGAATAGGAATCGATGAGCATCTGAAATTAGTAAATGGATTAAAAGTGGATTAAATAATGAATTAATAAATTCATAATAAGTATACAAAAAAATCACACAAAAAATAAATAAATAAATCAAATGTATTTATTTAACTGATGTATTTAAGGCAACCATATACCTTATAAATGACATAGCAGCGGGTTTAAATGGAGTTATGTCCGAGATGTTGAAGAGCGGGACTTCCAAACTCTTCGAGTGCTTTGGAAATCTGTTGCAGTACAAGACTGTACGCTGTTGTGTGTTGTGTCTGTTGTCTTAAGGGAGTACGGAATATGTATAAGTACTTAGGTGCACGGTTGACCCAGAATGGAACGACGAATAAAGCTATTACAAAAACATCCAGAAGAAGAAAGCTTGTGATGTTAAAGGGAATTATATTGGATCAGAGAATTTGAAAAAAGAGTAAGATAAGCATTTATAATGCTATAGTGAAAAGTATATTTCAAAGCTGAGAGGCTAAAAATACCTTTGGCTGGGTTCCTCATGGGAGAAGACAAAGAATATGCTAGAGAGAGGAGTGGAGGCTCGAGGTTTTATAAGAAATGAAAGAATGCCATCCCCCAGAGCAGATCTGCTGTGCTAAGGAAGAACGTCGTATGAGCCATCTGCCGTTGCCAAATTTCCTCCGAAGAATCATGAGTTTACAGAAAACTTTGCGATCATTTCTCTTCCAATTTTTCAGAGGGTTCTATTCGTAATTGGATCTAAAGAGTCTGAAAATTTCAAGGAGAAAAATGCATAACTTTCTTCAAAAATAAATATTTTCTAAGAATAATTTTGGCAACTTTCGAATGCTCATGCGGCGTTTTTCCTTAGCACGGCAGAGATGCTCCGGGAGGATAACGGTCTGTATTAGAGAATGCTGTAAAGGTGGCTCTGATATGTATGTAAAAATGTATGTAACGAACGAAAATCCTGAGAAACATCTTGAGAACTTTCTGTCTCAAGTCAGACGGAAGTTTTTAGGACACATGGATTCCATTTTGCAAAAAAGAACCAAGAGCATTGCAATGTTGTTGAGATTTTATAACTTCTTTTGTCTTGGGAGGAAAATCTGTTCATCTATCAACATTCTCCATTTTACACGCTAATAACTGTAAATTTAAGACAAAATTACCATGTAAATTTCATATTTTTACATGATTACAGTAGTTTTATTGCTACGGGTGACGTTGCACAATCTTAGCAACATGGCAATGTTCCTGGTTCCTTTTTGCTAAATGCAATCCACATCATGCTTGAATAGTCGTGGCTCGATAAATTCGGCTCAAGAAAAATCGCAGCGATACCAATATTTTTAAGAGGTCTAAACCAACCCCACAAGCCGCATCGGTTAAACACTAACAAAAGCACAGCACTAAGAAACTTATTTCTTTAGACTTTTAAATATATTTTCTCATAAGTATTTGATTTTGACGAATAATATCTTGTGAACGTCATGTGCTAAGTGTTATAGAAAATCACCTGAAATATACTTCTTCGTAGCTCCAGAATATTCTGCCAGAGTATCACCAGCCATGAAATGATTTCCCTTGATATTCGTCACTAGCCAGTGGAGGTATTCTCGGTCGGTATGATTTTTTTGTGATGGGTAGTCAGGACCTTGATATTAAAAGTAATAAATTAAAATTGGTAGACAACTTTTAATCTCACTTCTAGAGACAACTGGCTTAATGCGACTTCAAAATTTTCACGATCACAAACATTTCTCAAAGCTCAATTTTGTTATTGGCATCTATCCAAAATAGTGAGGAGATATAGAAAAATTGTTATAAATCTTGATGCCACAAAAACTTTACTGTAAAATAATCCTGTGCTGAAATTAGTTTGAGGCGCTCTCATCCAAGAAATTCCTTTTTTTAAAAATGGTTAAAATTGGAAGACGTATTAAAATTCGGTATCACACAGGTAGGAGCAATCTGTAAAATACATGTTAGCGGAAAATTCCTAAACCACGTATCTTGGTCGGCGAAGTTGCAAACTTTCTGTCATATTTCATGTTTAAATAGTAAACCACTCAACATCAATTCTTAAAAACCTGTTTTTTCTGCGCTCCGATTTTTCTACGCGTGGCGAAGAGAATCCTGTGAAAACTTTAAGGAAGGATGTTCTTTTGTTCTCTTTTAGACAAATGAAATGGGAGCGGAGGCTTTAGAACATCGGCAACGAGATACGTGGTTTGGAAGTTTCACGTTTAATAGACAGCTTGCATGATTATTTTAATCGACTGACATCATGCACTAAGTAATGAGTTAGTTACCTGTCATGACAAGCGTGTAGTAGGCACCATCTTCATGTTCCCAATCCACTACAACAGGCATGTTTTCCACTTCAGAACAACTAACGAGATTGCCAAAGTTTATCCCCCTCGAATGGTAACTCACCTGGGACAGGAAACTTTAAATTTTAATGTTTTATACTAAAAGGTAGGTATGCTTTATTTAGATTACGGAGAGATTTACTTAAATAGTTTTAACGCAAACTAGGGTCACACAGATTAACGCCACCTGTGCTGCTTGTTGCCAGGATGCCAGGCTTGTGCCCAAATGAGAGACAGAGGCAATAGTTCCGCCTTGTGCTAAAATTACGACAAAAGAAACGGTAACTTATCGGAACGGTAACGGAAACGTATTACGGTATCGTTAAGAGTCTTTTTTGGGCCTCCCCTGAAATTCCCCAACTCCGCAATTTTTTGGTCATTGAAAGTCTATATTTTAGGGAATGCATCATAGTTTGGTTATTTATTGTCTATTTCGGGGTCTACTACAGGCCTTAACCTGGGTCTGAAGGCCAATTTCGGCGAAAAATGCGGGTTTTCCTGCATTATTTGACGCGCTGTTTCATTACGATACCCCCATTCCGTCTCGTTTCAGTCTCGGCGTGAAGTTTGAAATAAATGCCGATTTTTTCATTCGATTCTTATTGGTCCAATCGCTCCCAACGAGAGGGAGATCGGACAAATTAGAGTCGGGTAAGAAAATCGTTTCATTTTTTTGGTCGTTCTTTTGTCGAAGAGGCGTTAGAGAGCGCGAAGCGCCTTCTGGGGGTTCGGCCGCGTAGCGGCCAGGGGGCATGGCCCCCTAGTAGTTACTGTTCTCGAACTGCTTTCCCGATAGTGACTTTTAAACTAGGTAAACGGTGATGGTGGCATTAATTTTTTATAAGTTTTTTTGTGCACTAATGCTAGTGTTTTCTCTAAAATTCAAGAGTAAAGATTTATAACTCACAAAAAGTGCCTCTTTGGGTATAGAATCTAACACGTCCGGGACGAGCTTGTCTCGCTCCAGCATGAATGTTCGGTTAGAAAGGAACGTTGTCGCCTCCACCGATGAATTATGACCATACTGAGTATTGTGTGCGCCCACGCTTATATAATCATCAGGGGTTGCAGCCCCTATTCCGATTTTCATCAATGTCTCGATGAAAATAGCGAGTGGAGAAAATGTTCGACTGGGAAGCCACCTCCCAATAGAGGTAGTCATTGTACGTGCGTAATCCAATTGATGTTTGGGTGACGTTAGCTAATGTTTTTGCACCAGGCGGTGATCTTCGAGGAGTGTTGCCTGCAAATGTAAATGTAAATCTCACGACACAAAGATATAAGAAGTGTAATGTTAAGGATCCTCAATATTTTTCGAAACGAATCACTTTGGAACAAATGCATCATGCTTGAGCATAAAAAACCGAATTCATTTCTGTGTCAACATCTCATAGATGCTATCACTGCCACTGACTTATATTTTGGTTCATAGATTAGACTCATGATTAACAAGAAGCTGCATTCATTCAGAATCTCAATAAAAAAATTATTTATGATCTCATTTCCTGTGCCACGTTCGAAACACGCATTTTGGGACAATTTCATCTGACACTGGCAGGCACACACAATTTTTTTTAAAATTTTGAGCTCACCTTTCAACAGCGTGATTTAAAATTTTACATTAATGGTTGATAAATAGAGATGCAGCGGTGTGTCTGCATATTACGCCATTTTCACCTAAAAAGTGGAGAATAGTTCAACCTGCATATTATGTCTGTGAATCTTGCTGAAAGTGAAATAATTATGTTTTTGCGCAAGTTTAACTTTAAGTTTTAAACAACCACGTAAAGTATATTTGACTTAAACATTGATTTTTGAAGCTCATTTGAAGCCAATTTAAATTCAAGTATGTCGGTAAAAATGTACGCAATGGTTCAAATTAAACTTTACTCTCGGCAATTTTATTTTATGGAATGTTTCATCTTCAGCTCTTAGATTCATTTTTGAAATTCCTTGAATTTAGCTATACCTTTAGAACTCAAATCGGCGATGTTTACATTACACTTGTTGTCACTATGTGGGCTGATGACAGCAATGCAACTAAAGTGTTTTTCGATGGCCATAGATATTGGAAACAACTGCAGTATTGAAGATATGAAGAGATTGTTGAAAATGCATGAAATAATTCCAGATTTGCTCAAAGATGTTCCAAACCAATGTTTAGATGTAAGTATCTAAATGATGCTTATCATGTGATGGATTTTTGATTTTTTATATATATTCCTTTTTGACCCATCAAAGGGCCAACTTCAATTTAGTTTTCAAATTTTTTTAAAATGTGCTACAGGTTCTGGCGCCGACACTTCGGATTGCCGGAGAGTCCTGAGACTTATTTTGAAGTGTCAATTCCAAGAGAAAATCTCAGAACCAAAAACGAGGGCTGGTGCAATCTGCCCCAAATAGATATTAGAATGCTCTTCTTGAAAAGATTAGTCTCTCTTTTATTTATTACTATTTTAATATTTTATTCGCTTCTGCATAGAATTACTAAGTTTGTATAGAATTGAAAATTTACACATTTTTAACTTCTGTGAAAAACCACACATCAAACCAAGATCACGTGGGATTGTGGCGCGACACAATTTGAAAAGTATAAAAAATAATTTAAAAAAAATTGGAATTTACTTTATGATTGTTTTTTACTGATAGTTGTTATGAAAATACTCCCTGAAGGGCTTTGGGAGGATAGAGTGCTTTGGCGGCTGGGTGTCGCAGAGCGCCAAAGAGCGCTATGAAAGGGGCTTTTATGTATGCTATAAACTCCATAGTTTTAACGAATTATTGAAGAGACGTGGCGTGGTTAGTGCATGCGACTACATTATTATTGTATTTTAAGATCTTATTTATAATGTCTACACAGGATCCACGAGAATAAAATTTGGTAGAGTAAATAGTTGACTGTTTAATTTGATAGATGGAACTAAGTGGCAAAACTGTTATTCTTGGTGATAGAGTAGATTACTTTGACACTGTTATGAAACCGAATAAAATAGAATGGGAATATGAAGATGGAGGGTTTTACTCATTAGTCATGACAGGTAATGAAAATTTTTTTTGGAAAACTATACAATTTTATCCATATTTCTACTTTCAGAGTTCGCTCTCAATTGCGTAATTTAATTGAATTAAAAACAAACGGAGGTCGTGCATTGATTTTTTTTTTTACTTATTACCAAGAGTGATATCAACTTCGGCAAGAGTAAACAAAAAAAAGGAAAAGAAAACATTTTTTTCTTTAATTAGAGCAAAGACAAGGAATAATACAAATGCTGCGGTAATTGTGTTCCCCGATCGAGAAAAGGAACAGCTCCTGATTGAGCGGTTTTTTTATTAATTTTTGTAGGATGAACCTTCATCTTACAGACACACAACCAAAAAAAAATGTTGATGGTCAACGGTCAGGTTGTATATGGAATTCTAAATTCTTCCAACAAAAACCACCTTAAACTTTCTGAAACAACAAAAATAAAGCGATAAGTTGGAGTTTTTTCTGCCAACGTGCGTTAAGAATCAGCATAAAGCTAATAATCTCCAATACAGATGAAAATTGCACTCAGCTCGTGTGAAAGTAAAGCGTCTATTTTCAAACAAGATTCGTTCAATTTTCCCAGAATATTCTCTGGATTTGGCTGTTAGAAAACAGGCATATTATTTTATGCCCTCACCTTTTGATTTTACTTAATTTCTTATTTCTGATTGCAGGGCTTGATGTCCCTACTCGAGAGGTCCCAAATAGCCGAGAAAGCCAAAATTGGGTAGTAGGCAACATACCAGGTATAAACATAACTGCAGGAGACACATTGTTCCGTTTTCAACCACCAGGAGTGGAATACGGTGAAGGTAAAATGCTCGCATCAAACATTTTCGGCTGTGACAAACTGATGCTCTTTGCTAATGACGCGGGACTCGTATTACTCTGGGATTTCAGTATACAAATGACCATTGAACGCTGATCGAAAAATGAATTGTGTAGCAAAGACTTCAATTTAGACACATGTATAATGTGGTCACAGAGGAGTTTTTTTTGTATTTTGCTTTGAAAGCGGGGTTGAAAAAACATTACGTTAACTCCTGCTTGAATGTGCCAGCGGGCTGATTATTGAATTTTATAGACAAAGCGATAGACATAGGGAGTATGTAGCGAACCTATTGGTTAAAATGAGTGGCTCCTTTAGACTAAGGGAGGAAATGATGGACAAACCATCGGGTCTCTCGTGGGTTGCCTTTAGTAAGTCTATTACCAACCTCCTTTGTCCATTGCAACCACCCCTTCTACCAATAAGATCTCTCCATATCTCCTTTATCTGTAGCTGTAGACTAAGATGTCTACAGCTTTGTCTATCAATTGCAATAATCGACCCGCAGGGAAGGACGTTCAGAGACACCAGCCGTAAGCGCTAGCGACTCACAACGGCGGGGACCAAAGTCACCCCCATACGGGAATAAGGCTTATGATCGAATTTTTCGAGTAGCGCTCGAGTGGGCTTCCAGACTAAAAAACTCTATAGCACACTCCCAGCCCTGCGGGCTAGCGATTCTCCCAAGCAGGATTTTCGGCGGCCGAGGCCAGGGTGATACGGTGAATATGTAAAGGCGTTACCTTTTAGTTGTAAGAAAATACGTAGAGGACGCCCTGTCAAATCATGGATTGAGGGAATAAGGCTGGAAATGAGGAAATGTGCTTTACCGGAGGTGCTCAGGCAAGATCGCTGTCAGTGGCGGTTGGGTGTCGCAGAGCGCACAGAAGTGGCATGAGAGCGACTTATTAGTAGTAATAGTGCAATAATACATTTTAGAATTTTCTTTTCTTTTCACAAAAAATTAAAAAATAAACCTTCTAAGTGCAAAACTTTGAAAGAAACACATCGGAAAGTACTACTTTTTTTGGCTACCGGAAGGAGGGAGAGGGGGTTCAAGCCGGAAGAGGGAGAGCAAGGTTCCCCCCTCCCTATCAAATTCAAGTATACTTACAGGGGTAATAATTTTTCTTCAATGTAACTTCCTCAAAATCTCAAAAAATATATAAAAGTGTGTTTGTAATGAGAGGCTCCTAGATCTGAGGGGACTGGGGAGAGAGAGGGGAGATCTAGAGGGGGAGAAGGGGCAGTTTATGGGTGGAGGGACAATTTCGGGCCTTGGTAATAGAAGACGAAGTATGAAAATCATAAAATTCTTCAAAAAATAGAGAAAAAAGCATCGCAGCCATCAAATAACCACATTCTCAATACGGGCCTCGCAGGCTCCGGTTGGTAATCCGTGTAGGTAAAAACGGTTGGGAATCTAAGGGTTAAAAAATTATTTGTTTCCTTCTTCTTAATTTCAGGCACTCATAGAATTGCAATCCTCATCTTTAAGCAACGTTTACCAATCAAATTTACTGAGATGGACCTAGGAGCAATAAGGTCGGTCTCGCTGATTATTTGTCCATTATTTCTCAGTTTAAATCTGCTACCCATGAGCTTACTCCCTCTCTGCGCTCAAGAGAACAAAAAAGCAAATCAGCTCGAAAACTTTTCTCCAACCTCGGTATGCGCTGCCGGCAATAAATACATTTTGAAATAGTTAACTCGGAGGAACTGAGAGCAGAAAATACCTAGTACATACATACATGCCACTTTTAGGCTCTATCTGACACTTTACGGCACCCATTTCTAACAGCTCTTGTCTATTATCGAGCCCCAGCCTAACGGGAATGGAGCGCTTTTAACATTTTCTGATTAGATCCCATCCCTCCACCCTCTCATGGGATAAATGAGAGGATATTTCCTCCATAAAAATGCAGTGCAAAATTATTTTGGCTCTTTTTAATATTTTTCTGACTTATCAATAAATTTTTCCTAACTTTCAAGCCGAAAATTCTGAATTTTGAACTTCTCTAAAATAAACTGACTTGCATTGACTTTCAAAATCAATAAGTCGCTCTTCAATGAATTCACTAACTTAACCCACGATGTCTCTATGGTCCCGACTTATCTCAGCTGTCAAGAATTTCTTACCTTCCCCGGCTTTGGCTGGTCGCCGAAAATTCCATTAACTTCCTTCGAACCAGCTCTGGGAAAAAATTACAGGACTTAAGGCTTTGAACTTTCCTGAAAAATTAACCAATTCTCTCCTTATTTACAGACGTGATAGTGTAAATCGAGCCTACTTTTCAACGGAAGGATTCTCTGAAAAGTATGAGCTTGGTCCGCCTTTAGCGATCAACTTTTATGAATTCGAGATGAAAATGTGAACTAAACAAGATGGGAACGTCAAGACCTCGCCGCCGGTGCGTCGCATCGGAAGTGGCTCTAAAAATGGTTGTTAAGTTTTGAGGTGAGGACGGAATGAAATAAAACAAAAGATTAATAAGGTATGGTACGTATATACATTCTTATCATGAAATATATAGGGCGTAGGAGGATTGCGCGAATATTTGAAATTACAAAAGCGTTAGATGAAAAACCGAAAACGTGGTGGTGACTTTGGCTTATTTTTCACATTCTTCACTCATTAGTCAATATCTAGGAATTCAACCCAAACTATTGCAACGGTTGGTCGACAAATGACTGCCGTTCAATAAGTCATTGATCATTTATTTTCTGAATAATCCATGTCATAATTGAATGCCAAATATAGGATAATGACGTTATCTCGGTAAAATCAGACCGTATACAACTATTTAAACATCTAGAAAATCGGGTTGCATAACTGTATAATTGCAGGCACTTTTGTACGTTTTATCTTATTTATATGTTTTTCTCTCATGCAGATTCTCACTGTAATACTTATTTCACGCTAGTTCTAAGGTTAATGTGCCTTTTTAAATGTTGATCAAGTTGTTTGATAATTTCCTACTTTGCACATGCTTGAAAATTTGGAAGAATTGTCTTGACACGAAAAATCATTAATATGTCATGACCTTCTTTGAAGTAAGATTAACTGCTATTAGTAAACATAGATGTTCAACATTATCTTATAAAGCTATTTAAGGGCGAAACAAGAATATCGGTAGATTCACAATGAATCAATGTACAAGGTGAAAATTTCAGCATGTTGCACATAATCTGGCATGCACATAATCTTGTTGATCTTTCTACTCCAGCGTTTAAGTCTCCAAGGACTATTCAGTGAATTCGGCAATCCGCAACCCATAATGGATCAGTAGACCAGGTACGAATTAAAGCATTCTGATACGTGTATCTCAACCAGAATTCCCCTTAGAACACGATTTGCGCAACAAAAATTTCTGAAATCCATTTTCCGGATATATCTTCATTTTTAAGCGTGCCAGTAGGGCTCGCTTTTTGAAATCACTCGGATGTACCATAGTACAGCACACCGATCAACCAATGCTATTCAACGGGCCGTCCAAAAATTTTTTCCTCGGACCCGTTTTCTTGTCTTTGAACCATTATACTGTGAAGCCCTGATGGTCTCTTACCAAAAAACCGAATGAACTGCTAATTGGGAACCCTTGAGAACATTTTCCTGTCAAATCGTATTATTTCATTTGACAAAAACCTCATAGAAGCTTTCTTACGCTCGGAGGACTCAACTCTAGAACCTTCTTTCCCGCCAAAACTGTTTAGCCAATGAGCGTCTTGCACTGCAAGTGCAATCTGTGATGAGCCTCGTGACTCTTTATACCATGTACTAACCGTGGCCCCTGCAGAAATCCACTCAAACCACTGCAGTTATCTCCCGATATAGCTTTGGGTGTCAGGTTTCGAGCAAGGCAATAAAAGACGGCGCGGCGAGGAGAGGGTCGAGTCGTCGAACCTATTATCTTCCACGCCCGATTAACCATTCACCGTGACGCCAGGATCCACCAAATTTTCACAAAAATTGTTTTCCGTCTATTTAGCGAGTTTTTCTTTACTTTCCGTTAAAGTACAAATAAAAAGAGACCTCATTTGTAAAAATCGGCCGAATAGGAGAGAAGTTACAGTTCGAAATCCAAAGAGATTAACTCAACGCGATTTCGATGCACGGCAGTTCGCCCAAATCACGGTCATGCGAAATGCCGCACATCAGCTTAAAATCAAGATAATTGGACGGAATCTTTAAAATCAATTTACATTCAACGTTCATGAATCAATATTTTCTCACAAATTTAGCAAAAAGTACCAATTGATGCAAATAACAAAGACGTGAAAATAGTAGGTATGTGTCCAACATTTTAGTTATTCGGCACGCTTTTCCAACATATTCATGTTGGATTTTTCTGCTTGTTTTTGTTTACACAAGTTACGGGAATTTTGAATTCTCTACTCACATGGAAAAAAAGTCTCTCGAATCAAGATGCGGTTTAGAGTGGTTTTTGCAGACTTCTTGTTTAAGCGAAGGTCCCTCTCCCCTTGTGTTGATCGAAGTGATAACAACGTGAAACAGGTGAGCCGAAGTACCGGGTTGAAATTGCCATTTTTAGATATAGCAAAGACTGTTATGGTAACGTATACTGCGCGATTTGACTCATGTATACTTTTGATCTTTCACAACCAGGACGATTAAATTGGCTCATAAAAAACTTTAAATATCTTAGTTAGTAGTTAAATCTCGGTGATTTTTGTTGCGCAAATCGTGTTCTACAGAAAATTTTGATCAGGAGACATGTGCCAGAACGTTTAAACTCGCAGTTTATCTAGTGGTCAATTGAAGTCTGGGATCTATATGTTACATTTTTAAAATGAAGAAGACCTCAGTTTAACTTCGGAAAAGCGCTTGATACTTTTGCTTTCTGCCACACTATTACTTTTAGCCAAGCCATCATTTTCTGCAGGAAATTAAATGTATACAGAACCTGTCTCCACCTGACAAAATAGTATGTAGGGACTTTGAGTGGAGTTAGTAAGCAAGCTTCCCTTGCTGCTGGGAATGTAAGTTCGCGTATCTTTGAAGTAAATGTAAACGAGAGTATCTATAATGCCTCAAGAAGTCATGATTTATAAAATAAAAATCTGGTATTGAAATCTAAATTTACGGTTTATTTGTTTTAGAACACGAGCATTAATTAGGATATTTTGAAAAAATTTAAAAAAACTTTTTTGTACACTCAGATATTTTACGCGTTTTGTTCCCCTCTTAACGTTTCTAATTTACATATTTATGTACAAGAAAATTTGAATTGCTGATGATGACATTCGAACTCCAAAATAGATAAACTTTTTTTCCCCTTTCTGTGCTGGTATCAAATTTCATTAGATTGTAAATGAGCTACTTTGTACGAAAAATTTAAAAAAAAAATTCATTTAGCCCAGAGAAAAATAAATAAACAAAACAAATAAATACAATTAAATGAAAAATCAACAATCCGAAGCAAAACACATTCAGAGTTACGGAAAACTACCCTTTAGAACTGAAACTTCTAAAGATTTCCAACACGTGGACCCATGGAGTAGGTCAAAAAGTCTTGTCTTTTTACAACGGAAGGTCACCTAACCCTTTCCATTTCTCAGCATGTTCCCCAGAAGAATATTCGCACGATTTCCGTACTCCAGAAACATGTAAAACTGACTAAAGGGTAACTTTTTTGGGTTACTATTTACAAAAAACAATTTGACGCAGCAATTCCAATATTTGATAATCTAAATTATGATCCATCGCCGCTTCAAATCAATGATAAAGCGCTCCAAAATTGTTAACTTAGACTGTTGTAGTTAAGTTTAATCATGCATTTTAAAACGAAACTGACCCATTGACGGCGCGAAATATCCAATAATAGTTTGCTCATCCATTATGTGAATGCTTTTAAAACAGTATTCACGGCCTCCTGAGGCAGAATGAGCTCATCTTCATTATGGTGTTAAATCCCCAGGTGTCCTGAACCATGTCTCGAACGTGGGTAGGGGCTTACTATGGTCAATCCAGAAATAATTGGCTGCCACAGCTTGTAGCCCATGCTTCTTTGCAAAGTCACGGGTGGAGAATTTCTTCCGCTGCCTATTGTATGGGCTACCAACGAAAAAAAAAAAAAAATAAAGACAGAGGAATCTTTAGAACGAAGCTTTCTCATTCTTTTCTACGTTTATTACAAAGATAGAAAATGCCCAAAAGTTATCATTGAAAATAGACCTACTGCAAACTTTAGCCAGAGCAAAATAAAACAAGTTGATTTTTGCAATCGCTAGCGATAGCAATATTCGTCATGGGAACTTTTGCCTCTGGGATATGAAAATGTTAAGGTACAGTTCGTTTGTAGTATCTTCAGAATTGAAGGGGCTATGTAATTTTGTGTCGACATCTCTTTTTTAACATTTTTAATTTTTTTTCTTTGCATACAAGAAAGCTGTTATTCTCCAATTATTTATTTTCGTTGGATTATGTATGGTTTTCGGAAGTTAACGCATTTAACTTTCAGTTTCGTTTTTTCGGCGTAAAGTATGATATTCTCTTACGAATAGTTCTTCCTTGGGAATAGCATCTAATACGTCTGGGACGAGTTTGTCTCGCTCCAACATCAGTGTCCTATCGAATAGGAACGTTGTCGTCTCAACTGAGGAGTTTCGATTATGCTGAATATTGTGTGTGCTTGGTTTTCGATGACTTTGGGTGTTTGATGTCCCCGACGTGATTGTGATCATAGCCTCGAGTAGCGCTATAAGCAGGAACACGATTTGACTCGGGAGCAGTCTACCATAGGGTGCAGTCATTCTCTGCAAATGGTTCAACTTATATTTGGTTACTTTTAATATTTTTTTGCCATGTGAGTCAGCTTAAAATACTAAATAGGAACATATGCACATACAAGTAGACCTATGGAAGTAAATTCACTTTGAGAAGCATGCGTATGAATCGATCAAACAGACATTTATCAAAGGACTCGGAGACAAGTGTAAGACAGACAGACTTGGAGTAATGATTCGTCTATTATCTGTATGGATGTGATGACGTTTCTTGGAGACTAAATAACAATGTCACCATATCATAGAGATAATTGAGAGACGATGTCCATTACAGACATGTATAGGGCGATCCAAAAGTCCCGCACCACCTCCACCTCTATAACCCCTCCTAGGGTTTTGCGCCTTTTTAGAGCTGTCCCTTTAAAGTTTTGGGAGTTCCCAGGAGCCGTTTCCTTTAACGTAAGAGCTTTCACAAAATTTCAAGTCCTTATCGTTGTGTTCAAAAATCCCTGGGTTGATGCCTAGCGCTGGTGATGCGGAACTGTTAGATCACCCTGTATAAAAACGGAGAGTGCAATGAACTCGAAAATGTAAGGAATTTTGAATGTTTTCAGAGTGATAGAATAATTAGAGGAACTGAAATACAGAGATAGAGAGTAATACGCATGATAAAAAAAAAGATCATTTTCCATCGGGATTGTCGACATCGATCGTCAGCTTCCAAAAATATAGGCATTCCGAGAAAAGTGGGTTTGAGATAGAGGTGGTAAAGAAGATGAAGAACCTTACGGAGATTTTGTTGTCAACGGCCCCATTGAAGAACGCGTTTTTTGAAGGTATGGTCTTTTTAAACATAGCTTAACGAACGCAGGGTCCTTTGAAAATGGAAGGGGGTATTCAATAGTTTCAATCAATTTCCCTTTTATCCTAGATAGTAAAGTTTCAGAACTATTGGGTGACAAAACCAAATTATTCATCGATAGATCACCGTTCATTGAATTTTTGATTAATGGAGGTGAGCAAATTTGAAAAAATGATTACCTACCCTTTTAGTGGGCATCTAGGATTTGGAAGGAGTGGAAAAAAAAATCCGTTTAATCCGTAAATCCGTTATTTTCAAAGCTGTTTGTATGGAATATTCAATTTTTTTTTTTTGGACACACTTGTAGGAAATCTCCTTGAAAGAGTCTAACAAGGCTTGATAACTGCCCTCGATAATATACGTTGCGTGCATACACTTCGAGAGACGTGTTTCCCTAAGATTTTTGCGGATGTCCCTTAAAAGTTGACTTTTGAAAAAGTTTTTTTAACTATGAGCGCATCGTCTAACCATACTAGGGATAAAATGGGTCCTAAACCACCTTGATAACATATCAAAAGCTCGTTTTAGTTAGACGATGCGCTCGGTGTCAAAAAAGCCTTGCTCGGAGTGATAGAAAAACTCGAATTTTCGCTAAATTACGCCTGCAGACCTATGTTTAGGCAACCGTTTAACACGTATCCAGTGGCCTATGGACTAAAGCACGATTATTTCCGAAAACTGCATCGAGTCAACTTAGAAAAACCTGCATAAATTTCCAGATTCTAGAGGGGGGCCAAAAAAGGCCCTTATCGATACCCCTCCCTTCTCGACCCTAGTCACTAACTAAGATATTTATTCTTCTTGCACCAATTAATTGAATAAAATAAATTCTTTCACCTGCACTACATTTTGAGGGGTCGGAATATGACATCTGGTATTATTACTGATTTTACTCATTCTTCTCGTATTTCCGGAGTTAGTACTACAATAGCAAGTAATAGTTTTAATCCAATGAACAACGTCAATAAGAGGGGATATATTTTACTGGGGAATGTAAGAAAACAGCCGATTTGTAGTGCATTCATGTTGTACTAAGTTCACATTTTCACTGCACCAATAGAAATACATTTTAAAACTGAAATTACAGATATCGTATGGCTGCAGCACAAATATTCATTAAAAATTCAACAATTCAAACATTTGTTTTCAGAGATACTCTTTTTAAACTGACTACAATCAATGGATTCTATCAATGAAGATGTGCTCAAGTGATAAATCAGAGCTGCATTCAACAATAAGAGGAAGGAAAAGATATAATAAGAAGAAGGACCGGAAAGAGTAACAATGTCCTGGGGCAAAGTCAAACTGCATTAGTGCCACTAATTCGGTAAAAAAAATGTGTTCAAAAATTACGTATTACAAAATAAAGTCCTTTGACACGGCTATACAGTTTTGAAATTGAAATAATTCCTAGCTATTGGTAAATCGAACCTCCTTGATGGATTTCGTTTTCCCATAGGCCGATCAAGTAGTTAACGGCTAGTGTACCGGTAAGAATTTGCCTCTGAACAGAAGCGTGAGGATTATAAAAACCTCTTCTAAAGAAATCCAACCTAAAATCAAACAGTTGAGAAATGCATTAATTTGGGGGCTTAGAGGACAAGCCGCACGAGTGGAGTTTTTGAAAAAAAAAAAATGATATTTAAATAATTGCAATTTCAACTAATCTTAAAATATGTTCAGAAAAAATTTCACTGCTAAAAGTCAACTTTTATGCATCAAAAAGTGTCTTGGAACTTTCTTTTTGGCTTAAAACTCCATGCTATTTTTAAAATTGAAATACGTATATCATGCAATCACAAGAACTACCCTTGTGTACCTTGTCCTCTGAGCTACTTCCAGGGGGACACGTTCCGAGAGAATTTAATTTAAGGGAAAATCCCGGAGTATACAATCTGGAGTTCGTGAATGCTCTTTAAAACCAGTTAAGTGAAGTTTCAGTATAATTGTTTCACCACAAAAGGCGCTGGCTGCTTCTTTTCTAAGTGCAAGTCACAATGCTGTAAAGGGACCCTACTTCCGCATGTAATTTTCAAGTAATATATAAATTAAGATTTTTTTACTTTTAATTATATAGAAATTTGTTGTTGCCTAATGTCAAGGACAAAAAAATTGGGTTTCCTTTCCTAGAAAAAAAAATTATATTCGGTGAAACAGTATTATAGTAAGATGAACAAAATTTTGGGTTACCATGGCACCAAAAATTGGTTGAAAGGTGTGGTAAATTATAGTAACAGAAGCATCGGCATCGGTAGTTGGCGTAGAGAATAGACACGGATTAATTATTATTAGAGCAACTACGTTGAGCAGAGCCTGAAGAATGCCAAAGCGTGAGACCATAGTAGATATCAATGTTGTTGATATGACTTAAGACTGCCCCCACGTAAGGTTGGGTGTGTGTGGGGGGGAGGGGTTTTTTTGCTGGGCCAATACCCCCTCGTTGTATACTCTAAGGGTTATTTCATACTATGTTAAATGAAATAAATGAAGAGCTCGAGAACACCGATTTGCTGAAAATATAGGATTTTACAACGGCATTTTAAGATACGTTCCCTTATTTTAACCAGCGTGAGGACATTTTAATGCTGAAATTACTTGCAATATAGTGCCGAATCTACCAGAAAATGTTTAAAGTTACCTCTTAAGCCCCCCGGAACAACCCCCGAGAAATGTCTTGCGGGTTGCGTCTTTGGCGATTTTTCGTCGAAAATCCGAAATTTTGACAGAAAAGTGGCCAGTGGTAAGGATCATCGTAGGCGGCTGAAATTTTTTGTGGGCTCTTTTGTGCACCAACCACATACTTTCCGGGGGTAGAGAATGTCGTGCGCGAAAAAAAGTGTTTTTCGCTACACCCTAGTGGCGCACTCTGTCACATTGCGACACCCAAACGCCGAATGTGTCTATCTCCCCCAAGATTATCGGGCAATTAAATAACAACGTTTTGTATTCCTCTGCAGGACGTCCCTGCGTTACCCTCTTCCAGAGTTTGTACCCAATCCAAAATTGCATGCTGGGCAACCTCTCCACCGAAATTCCTTGGCCATGCCCATACCATACTACCGGTCTAAACATGGCGTCGCGCACGACATTTCTCTATATTGAAAATAAAAACACAAATGAAATTCCTACTTTAAATCATTATTACAGAGCTTTTGCACTGAGAAGAAAACTTCGTGCGTGGGACCCAAAGTTGAGGTCTTATGGATTTCGAAAGTTTTCGGATCACGTATCCAATAACTTGAGATCCAGCCGCCGAAGTTCGGGTCAGACATCTGGAGTACTTTGATATATACCGAAGGGTTCGGGTCACACATCTGAAGTACTCGGGTACATACCGAAGTGCCGATGTGTCACCCGAACTTCGGCAGCCTGACCTCAAGTTCTCGGATGCGTGATCAGAAAACTTCAGAGATCCATATGAATTAAACTTCGGGTCCCATACACGAATTTTTTTTCTCCGTGTGTATCGAGGCATTTGAAGGGTCTCCAATACTGCAGTATGTTTTTGATAGGAAATGTACTGATGGGAAATAAAATACCAGAAGAGATACCTT